AGAGAGAGAGAGAGAGAGAGAGAGAGCAAGGGAGAGAAAGAGAAAGAGAAGGAAAGAAAGAAGGGATTTTTAATCCTAAGCAAGTCATCACCCGTGGTAGCAGCCAAATGTTGGTCACCCATCCCATAGTTAAAAATCAACTAAGTATGAACCGGATACTATAACACACATGAATTTACCAATTGAGAAACTAGGACCAGCGGAAAGCACTTGCACTTAGAGAAGAGGTCAACTAAGTAAGATCCGGAACGTCACAACACACATGGACATGACAATGAGAAGCTAGAACTAGCGGAAAGGCACATGCACATACAGGAAAGATCACCCGAAACATCACACCAAACACGAACATGACAATGAGAGGCTAGAACTAAAGTAAAGCACATGCACATAGAGAAGAGATTATCTAAGTAAGATCCGAAACATGACATCACACACGTGCGTGACAATGTGAGGCTTAGAACTAACGGAATGCACATGCATATAGGAAGGAGTTCCTCTAAGTAAGAGCCGGTACATCTCAACACACATGGACATCACAATGAAAGCCTAGAACTTAATGGAAAGCACATGCACATAGAGAAGAGATCAACTAAGTAAGGTCCGGAACATCATGTCAAGCATGAACATGACAAGGAGAGGCTAGAGCTAATGGAAAGCACATGCACATAGAGAAGAGACCAGCCGGAACATCACAACACACATGGACATGACAATGAGAGACTAGAACTAACGCAAAGCACATGCACAAAGAGAAGAGATCAACCGGAACATCACATTAAGTATGAACATGACAATGAGAGGCTAGAACTAAAGGAAAGCACATGCACATAGAGGAAAGCTCGTCTAAGCGAGATACAGAACACTACATCAAACATGAACATGACCATGAGACGCTAGAACTAACGGAAAGCACATGCACAAAGAGAAGAGATCAACTGGAACATCACATTAAGTATGAACATGACAATGAGAGGCTAGAACTAAAGGAAANAGAACTAACGGAAAGCACATGCACAAAGAGAAGAGATCAACTGGAACATCACATTAAGTATGAACATGACAATGAGAGGCTAGAACTAAAGGAAAACACATGTACATAGAGGAAAGCTCATCTAAGCGAGATCCGGAACACTACATCAAGCATGAACATGACCATAAGAGGCTAGAGCTAATGAAAAGCACATGCACAAAGAGAACAGATCAACCGGAAAATCACATTAAGTGTGAACATGACAATGAGAGGTTAGAACTAGTGGAAAGCACATGCACATAGGGAAGAGATCAATGAAGTAAGATGACATCAAGCA